CCTAAAAAGATTAAAAAATAAATTTTAAGCATTAACTGCTCCTTTCAATAGATCATCAGGAATCAGCAGAAATTATCCAAATTATCCTGCATATATACATAAATATCTTTTAACCTGTGACTCTTCTGCAAAGATGTTTTTCCTTTCAAATATTTCCCTTTAAGTTGGCTTCCTTAAGGCTCCCTTTAGGCTCCCTTAAGAGTCTAAAATTTAACACATTATCTGGAGTCTGCTTAGCACTGTGTCACACTCCACATTCCTCTTGGAGTCTGGTCATTCTGGCAGGCTCAAACCATGTGTAGTGACCAGTGCTGGGCAGCTCTGTCCCTGGCTCTCTGTGCCCTGATGAAGAATCCCCCTGGTGCAGAAGAAAGCTTCTGAAATTCTGCAAGCCCTAGCACCTTCAACAGCCTCTACTTGGCCTCTGGTGGTGGTGGTGGGTGTGATGACTAAAAGCAGCCTCTGGACCTCAGTCTCATTTAAGGCATGGCAGCTGTCCTCTCAGCTGTTAACATCAATAATTAGCACGCAATTTTATTGCAGATAAGAGATACTCATTGCAGAGAGAAGACCATTGGATAATAACACAAGGTAGACAAAAGCCTAGAAATTTTGGCTAGAGATCTTAAGAAATATGAGTCCCTAATTCTGCCAATGCCATCCTCTCCTCACCATATGCCAGGTATTTAATCTACACATGGATATAGAGCTCAATAATATTGTATAGGCTGGTTGTGATGGTGGTAACAATCTATATAAAATGCCCAGCACAGTGTATGATACAGAGAGGGTGCTCAATAATAGGATGCCATTTGTGTGTGTGTGTGTGTGTGTGTGTGTGTGTGTGTGTGTGATAATTGGGAAAAAAATACAATATGCTGTGGATGTGTCAACATTATCATTTTGAAGTACAAAGAAAAAATGCTTATTTAACAGCACTGGGCTTTTGTATTTGGAATAGATTTCAATCTCACTCAAGCCTAGTGAGATGGATGATGTGGCATATCATATATGTGAATGAAAGTAATAACTGAATGGGGTTGAAGATTGTGAATAATATGACTCAGTTTCATAGGAAATCCTAATCCTGCTGTTTCTATTCTGCTCTGAAAGACACAGTTAATTTATCCTATAGCTCCAATCTTTTAAAGTGGAAGGAAACACTCCACATGGGTCTGTCCTGTTCTTCCTGTTCTCAGTATCTACCAGTGGGACTAACACAAAACAGGTGTTATGCAGCCTTATGCTGGAAGTGGAGTGTGATCTAGAATAGAAGCAGTGAGAGGTACAGTCTATGATGTGGCCACAAATAAGCAGAATCAATCAGCTTAGGCACTCAAAGCCTTATTTGGTGAAATGAATACATTAGAAAATAGATCCCAAAATATGTAGCTCTATAGGAGTAAATTGAAGTTTGGGGCAAGAATATAGGAAAATGGACAGAGTGCTGTGGATAAAACCATTTTTCATGGACCAAAATGACCTTTGAGCAGGTCATGCCATGAGTTTGGGACAATGTGGCATTTTGGGATACAGGAAAGCACTGTGCTAGGGTTCCAGAGCACATGACTCAGAACAAAGACAAAGGAAAAGGTTGAGGTAGTTCATAAATAAGACCAAAGGCTATGCAGGACAGTGCTAGTTTTGGTCAGCATTTACCTGAGATATTTTTTTGCTTTACACTGAAGTATTGTTAATTAAGCTTACTTCAAGAAATAGAGATTAAGAGAATAGAGATTAAGAGAACTCATGTGAAGTGGTCGTTTAATATTATCAACCCAACCATGCCTTCTCATACTGAAAACAATTCAGTGGTTTCCTTGCTTTCAGAATAAGCTTTGGCACTTTTCCCTGTCCTGATTTAGATTTTTTATCTTGCTCATCTGTTCTGCTTCAGTTCAGTTATAGCCGCCCTATTGTCCTTTTAACTCACAGAGATGTTTTGCCACACCAAGTCATTGTGCTTGCTTGATTCTTGGCTTTCCCTCTGGTTCTGTACACTCCTACCTTCCAATGTCACCTCTTTCAAAATATCTCTGCAAACCAGCCTAGCAGATCCTTTGCTCTATGTCTTGGGATGCTCAACATTTATTAATTTATGTTTGTACTATTGGTCTCCCTTGACTAAAGAAAAAGTTATTAATAAGTAGGGAATAAATTTTCCTACCTCTGAGTCTGGCAAAGAACACGTGCCCAGGAATATTTGCCAAAATATACAAGGATAAGTAAATAACAACATACAAAAAGGAGAAAGAAGAGGAAGAGGGAGGCCAAGGAGGGGGGAAGAGGAGGAGGAGGAATGAGGAGGAGGAGGAAGAGGGAAGGGGAGGAGGAGGAATGAGGAGGAGGAGGAAAATGAAGAAGAAGAAGAAGAAGAAGAAGAAGAAGAAGAAGAAGAAGAACAACAACAACAACAACAACAACAACAACAAGAACAAGAACAAGAAGAAGAACAAGAAGAACAAGAACAAGAAGAACAGGAAGAAGAAGAAACAACTGCAAAGAGAACAGAACTTGGCTCACATATAGTTTCCTGGAACTGTAAGTATTACATTATGGTACATTTTCTGTTGGCTGTTTTAGGTATTCTTTAATAATGAAATAATTTATGGCAATAAAAATTTGCCTAAAGGGCCAGCTAAATAGCTCAGCAGATTAAAGTGCCTTCAGCAGGCTCAGGGGCAGGGGTTCAAACCTGGCCTGCTGTGCCAACCCCACCCCCAGGTTGTGCTGAGACAGCAATTGAGACTGGGCATGGTGGTGCATGCCTGTAATACCAGCACTTGGGAGGCTATAGACAGGCAGATCACTATGAGTCCAATCTAGTAGTGAGACCCTGAACACCTTGTAGACCCTGCCCTAAAAATGCAAAAAAAAAAAATTGCTTAGCCACAACTTAAATGGAAAAATATTTTTTTTATGGCACTATCTGCTATGGGTGGTAAGTTGATACATTTTCTGTAGGTGCTCAGAAGGTTTATACAGTACACACCTTTTCATATATAGTATCAGAAGGTCATTTTTCCAACCTGGAGGGAATGATTGTAACTTCCCTTCCATTTGTACAAACATAATAGATAGTTGTACATAAATAGAGATTCAACAGCTCCAGCAAAATTCCTACTGCCAAAGAGAAGAAAAATGTCAGAGTAAGCTGTAAAAAAAGTGCTTGGTTTTTCAATGTAGAAATGGCAATTCACAGCATTTATTCAAATTGCTGTGTACTGTGGGTTGGAGCACTGAGACTGAATAGTGAGAAAAGATGCAGCTCAGAGCAAATCTAAAGATACTTGTTTTAGAAGTAAATGCGTAGTCAGTATTATCGCACTCCAGCAATACACACGTCATAGGGTACTTGGTATTGGTACTAAGACTTTCTGCATCGATTTCTCATATGTAAAGATGCTCTGACTTAAACTCTGTTAAAGTGTTTTTTTTTTAAAGATATCTTGCATGAAATAAGGAGAATTCATTTTTTAAAAGTCTACTTTATATTTTTAACATATTAGTCTGTAATAATGTTAAATAATGGCTAGATAGATCTGGTATTTGGTGGCTTACTTTTTATTATAATTTTAGGCACATTTTGTGAATGCTATACTTAGAGCAAAATCTGAGATGGTATCAGCAGAAATTATAAATAGCTTCCAAAGCAGTTACATAAGTTAAAATGTATAAGATACAGAGTGAGAGAAAGTAGGAGAGTTAACAAGTTGACAATTAAGGGCTGGTGAGATAGCTCAGTGGTCTAAAGTGCCTGCTTAGGCAAGCTTAGGAAAGCATGTAGGGACCTCGTTTTGATCCCCAGCACCACATGCCATGGCAGCCCCGCCACCAGGGTGGGCTGAACTGACCATAAAAAAGAAAAAAAATAAATAAAGGAAACATTTAAAAAAAGAAAAAAGAAAAAGAACTTTCAAAAAACAAACAAACAAAAAACAAGTTGACAATTAAATCCCAAATGTAAATTTTCCTACGTCATACCTTAGATATGGAACATGCAACTGAACTAGAACAACAGTGTACTAAAATATTTTCTTCCTCTGTATTTTGCCTTCTACATTATTCACTGTGACAATATATTCAGTATATTCTTTCCTTAATTAAGCACTAATTTATTTATATAAATTATCTTAGATTTGTTAGAATGGGAAAGAACATTTGTGTATTTAGAAAAGTATTTTTCATAAGCAAATGCAATAGAGTCTAGACTCCAGAGTCAGAATGGGTAAAATTACATGCAAGTTTGGACTTCACATCTGAAGGTGTCAAGTGCTTCTAGACCCAGCTCAGCTTCTCTGCAGTTACTTCCCTGAAAATGAATCTTTAGTAACATGAGACTAAAGAGTCAGCCTTGAGTATTTTTAACAGCAAGTAAGCTGTTACTTAGTCCTTAAGATATTCTGAAACACAAAATATTTTAAAGTCAGGTGGGTGTGGTGGCACACACCTGTAATCCCAGCACATGGGAGGCTGAGGTAAAGATAACTGTGAGGTCAAGGTCAGCCTTGGTTACGTAGTGAGGACTTCAAAGAAGTCTAAAAATTACATAGTGAGATTCTGTCTCAAAACAACAAAAAATTGCAAAGTTGTGTTTTAAGTTTTAGACAAAATGATGTGTTTTTTCTTTTTCCTTTTCAACATGCTTCATAATGATGATACAATGGTTGAAGATTTAAAAAGTTGGGATTTATTCAGAAAAGGCCGATAAGATAAAGGAGTGACAATTTAAGTGGTGGTGACAGAGAAACAGAAAGTAGGTATGGGATTAAGAATGTGCTATGACAATGCTACAAAAACAGTGATCCATGGGTAACAACATTTTACAAAGGGCCAGGAGGATGCTTCTCCAGGCTGTTAGTAATGAACCAATATTTCCACAACATATAGCTTTGTTTAGAATGTCCTTTTTTTCAACAAAGGAGACTGAAAAAATACTAAAATGATCTTTTATGTTTTTAAGTGACTATCAAAGTCTGTACTGAGATGGTCACAATCTGTCATAATGCCACACAATTGCCTGTTACCTTGGATACAAGGCTGGCTCTGTATGCTGCTAGTTGCTTCAGGTATTCCTTCTTCGCAGCCTCGGTTTTCTTTTTATAGACCTGTGGTAGCAACAAAGAGTCTTAAATTAGAAAGTGCATCTGCTTTTGTTTTTCAGAGAAGTATAAGAGAAAATGATAATTTCACACACATACATATAATTATATAATAATATATATCCTTCCAAAGATTGTGTTTTCCTACTGGAGTATATTTGAAAGAAGAATGGCAGTAGACTAGGTAAGATTAACAACAGCAGAATTTTACAATTTTACGCAATTCACATGAAAGAATTTATCTGGGATACTTTGTGAATAGAAGTAGTTGGCTTAGAAAGATGCTATTGATGAAAACAGGGAAACTACTTGTAAGCAATTAAGGCATTCATATTCCTCAGACATTCCATGCTTGCTCCAGTAATGAAAATGAAGTCAAAAGTGACGTGTTTAAAAATCATATAATAATCAAAGGATATATAATGGAGATTGGAGGTCCATCATGATTTGAAGATTTAAAGCCTCAAAGTTCTATTTTGGCAGACTCAGGAGTCAGGAATAACAGTTAAGAATATTTGGAAATGGAATGGGGACCCGAGCAGCTGAGGCTTACATGAGTGCCCTGCTGCATGGTGTGTGCACGTTGTTCTTTTCCAAGAAAAACACCAGATGACATAGATCTGTGGACACCTCATTCTGAAAAGGTAAAAATGTTCTAAGACAAATCTGTGTTTAGAGAAGCTTTTCATTTTTTTACGATAATTATCTTGAAAATAAAAGTAAAACAATCCAAAATTGAGTGAAAGAACTGAAAGATGACTTACGTGGTCACTCTGCTAAAGGTCACTCTGCTGAGCTAAACAGAGAAGAGACATGAGCCTCAAAACTGAAAGATGAGCAGGGTGAACAGACATCATTGTCTGCTGCCATTAAGCTGATTGTTTCAAGATTTTAGACAAGATGTTTGGCAATCTTTTCAAATCAACCTCAAAGAGCAAAATATTTTCTCATCTTTTACTGTAGAAATGGAAATGTATTTTCCTTGAAATAAGTGTTTTAAATTTTCCACATGTTGAATTTTATAGCAGGGCACAAGGCTTGGCTCAGATTTTGTAATGCTGAGCTCAAAACCAGACACAGGTCAGTATTGAAAAGTGACTTCACAATTAGACAAAGTTGTTAAATATAAATTATGTCTGAAGACCTACTATCTGCCAGTTGGCAGCAGAGTTAAATGGCTTGTTTCTAATGATGACTGCGTTTTTTTGAAGCCCAGTACCCAAACGTGAAATTTAAAATTGAGAAATATTATGTACTCATGAATATTTTAATTAAATAAGAACATTGTACTTAAGGTAAACAAATTACTAACCTTGTCAACAGAATTACAATAGCACTCTATGAAATAAATTTGTTAATGCTTTTCCTTTAAGACTTTCAGGCTTGACTTTTATACTTGGCATTTTCATATTTTCAATAAAAAGGCCAAAGAAAATATAGAATTGAGAATTAGCACACTATTATCTTATAATCATTGCACTATCACTTCTAAGTAGGAAGCTAAAAAAACTTTAAAAATTATTTTTAGGGTCAGGGAGATAGCTCAGTAAAATAATCACTTGCCTGGCAAGCGCAAGGTTCTGAGTTCAATCCCTGGTACTACAAAACAAAACAAAACAAAACAAAACAAAACAAAACAAAACACCAAAAAAAAAAAACCCAAACAAAAACAAAAAAGATTATGTTTAGGAAATTTTGCTCATTTTTTACTAAAAAGCCAATAAATTTTTGATTAGAGGAGAAGAATATTTTATGTCATTAGACTGATCATTGGATGTCAAATTCAGATTCTCTTTTGGAAATTCATATGTGAAAATAAATTACATGCTACAGCAGAGCAAGTTCAACAGGGCTGTTGTATCCTTTGTTCAGAAACACATTCAGAAGCACTAAGTTCCTCAGATTTTTCTTAATTGATTTTGTTGCTAAACCAATTTCTATATACTTTTACCTTAAACTTCTTCTCCCAGACACAAAAGTTAACTTTCCTGAAATTTGATGATTAACAAACAGGAGAGAACGGTGGCTTAACTCCATCCACTTTAAGGTGAGCATGTTCCCTGGGGTTCACTATAGGATCAATATTGTTATGGAATAACTGACTTGCACTCATAGATTTCTGTTTTTTACAAATGGCTCCCCACTGACTATTTTACTTATGTTATTTTATTTTTTTCATAATTTTATTGAGAGACATAGCAATGAGACAGTTTCAAATCAAATTAGTATGACAGTTTCAATAATTAACACATTGCATACTTAGTGGTAATTTGCTGTACAAGATGCAGACATGATATCCTATTTACAAACACTATTAGAACAAATCCCTCTATTCATTAAGAGAATGTAACTATATATCTATCCTAACCACTTTGAATACACAGATACAAAATGCACATTCATCTGTATCCCCTTTTTTGTTTATTTCCATCATTTGAATATTACAGGTATGTGAATTCAGCAAAATATTCTAAAAAGTGTCCAGTAGTCCATAATAGTATTGGGCCTTCCACTTCACTGGCAATGTCAGAAATGGTTGACCTGTGTCCCCTGCAGCTCAACATAACACCATGGCTTTATGTCTTATATTTCATTTTTATACTTTTCTGCTGAATGGTTAAGACCAAGATAAAGTAAGACCTATGCAACAAGAGTTGTAGCTTTTGGGTCTGAGAAGGTCAGTGAAATCCCCTCAGGATTTATCCTGAGATCCTGTACCTCAGATTGTAGGTCCTTTGTCAGTGTCAGCCATGTGGATGAGTCACGGCCATTGCTTGGCCCCCATTGACTATTGATGACTGCTTATGTTGGGATCATTGTATAAGTGCCTAAATATCACCTTAGAAAAAAGTAAGTTTATCATATCACATTACATGCATTGATGGATCCACTCTCTCTTGAATACAAACAGATGTTCAGAGGGAGAATTCAAATGGGGGTCATTTCAGCAGGTATATTTCTGTAATTGTGTTTAAATGTGAGTAGACAAGCTCAGAATTAACATATAGGTTAACCTCCCTAACAATGTTAAAACGTCTACCTTTGAACACTACCTAATGGCTCCAATATTACATATTGAGTATATCTTCTTCATGCTATTTTTAAAAATTGGGTGAAATTGTGATTTGAATTTCCTATTTAGTGAAACCATCCAAAGACATCAAATATGAGAGAAAAATACTAATGCATAAGAATTTCACATAAAGTGAGGAAATTCTTATGTTATAAAACATAATGGGGCTGGGAAGATAACTCAGTAGAATTAGCGCTTGCCTGGCAAGCTCAAGGGCCTGAGTTCAATCTCCAGTTCTGCAAAAAAAGAAAAAAGAAAAAAAAGAAAGAAAACATAGTTTTTTGGGGCCGACCCTGCCCCAGGGGTGCGCTGAGGCTGCAATTGACACTGGGTGTGGTGGTGAACGCCTGTAATTCCAGCTCTTTGGAGGCTGTAAACAGGATCTCTATGAGTCCATTCTAGTGGTAAGACCCTGAACACACTGTAGACCCTTCCCTAAAATTAAAACAAACAAACAAACAAAAAACGAAAGAAAGAAAACATATTTTAAAAATAATCAGTAAAAAAATTATTTAAAATGTTTCAAAACATTTAGATATGGATAGACAGCTCTCTTCTTTTAGAAACCAAAGAAGTTGTAGGACTGCATTTGACAATGAATAAAGATCCAGTGCATAAACATAACCCATGAGGATGGGTCTGATTTATATCAAAGTTAAATTTGGGAAAGAAAGTTTCTTTCTTTCTCAGGGTAAGACAAATATTTTAAAGGTATGTTATTCATACAGTAAATATTAGTACCCAGTTGAGCTAGAAAATGGCTTCCAAATGGTTCACAGCTGTGTGAAATAAAGCACAAAATTGGCCAGATGAGGATTTTAAAATCATAATACATCATTTGTCATTTTCTCTAGCTCATCCAAACACTTTTGAATTCATCCTGTCCTAGCTTAGTTATGTGCTGTGGTTTGTTATTTCAAGAAACTGATCACATCCCATGTAAGGATTGCACCTCGGTGGCTAAACTAAAACATATATACTGGCTAAACTGAAACATACACAGATAGTTATCAAATAGCAATTCTAAAGAATCCAAATCTTGTTTATGCAACCCAGTGACTCACTGAGTCAGTTTTGAAATAATCTAAATACTAGCATGTACATGTGTTTTAAATGGGCTGATAACATGTAATTAAAATTAGCAGTTCAATATCAATGAATATGACAAGCTTAAATAGAAAAGTTTCTTATTCAATTTGTTATTTTACTCATTTGTTTTATTTTCCATTTATTAACAGCATTTAATCCTTCCTTCCTTCCTTCCTTCCTTCCTTCCTTCCTTCCTTCCTTCCTTCCTTCCTTCCTTCTTTTATGCTTTGCCCCTAATCTCTAGTCATGGATTAAATCTACAGAGGTACAATAATAATAAGAAAAATATAAAATTCTTTCAGTTATGTATTCTATTCAAACTGTAGCAGTCTTAAAATGTCCTTTCTTTTTTGGTTAAACTCAAATGCAGAAATTTTCATTACAATTGCTTTTTTTGTAAAAAATGTTTAACAATACAGTGCTGGATAAGCTAGAATAATTTAATTATTGTTCCTTGCTATACACTTTAGAAATTTAAAATTTGGGGCTTCTTTCAAGGCTGTTATTATTTAGGTCAGCTTGAGAAAGTGGCTTTTGCATTTTGTATGCTTAGTTGTTAAATGTGGTTGAATTTTCATCTTGTGTAACTTGCTCAGCATTTTCTTTTTTTTTTTCAAAATTTTATTGATAAACAGATAGCAATGAGACAGTTTCAAATCAAATCGGAAGTACAGTTTCAACAAATAATACACTGCATATATTCTTCT